GATGATACGAGAAAAATTACCCTTGGTCCACGATCAGCTGGTTGTGTTCGTCTATGTTCAGGTCTATCGGATGATTCTTGGATCAAGTCTGGACTCCTAAGTTTGTAAAATGTTTCCAGCCCTCCATTATAGACTCTTTTAGAATACTTATGACAGTTTTTATATAGATCTGTTCCTTCATTTTCTTGGGATTGGACATGTGGTTTGATGTGACAGATATAGAACACATACAACTACAAAAAAAAATATTTATCATAAAGTGGTTGGGGTTAGTTAAAATGAAAACCAATTGAAATATACATAGGTGAACTTCTAGGTTTCAGACCAAGGAGCAAACGAAATAGACATATTTGAACTTCTAGATTTCATTGCAGGCCATCAATAATAGAATACCAGCCAAAATAACACCTAAATAAGTCTTCTGTACAAGAGGTATTTTCCCTCTCTTTTTTCTTGAGCTTTATCTGTCTCTGTGTGTGTGGCTAGTTTTTGAAAGTGTATGAAGTATACTAATTTAACACCATCTAGTTTAACCAGAAACGCAATAGAAACTCCAACTGAATGATTGGATCCAATATGAGTAATAAGTCGCTACAGCTAAATGAAATTCACATATAATTAACAATGTTTATAATAAATTAAGTTACCTCAACGGCTGAAAATGTTGAACCTCGAGGGTCGGATTGGCCGGACATGTTTTCCGGGTAAACTTTAATGGATCTAGAGTTGTCTCCGGTGTAGATCCAGTTGATGCGTAGGACTCTAGTAGATGGGGTGGATATGATGAGTCTGTGGCAAAGGATTCATCATTCGTGTGAATTTGAGCGCAGAGGCGGGAAACTTGGATTGAGTTCACGCGAAAACCGAAGAACAGTGCACACACACAGCCGCCCACACAGGTCCATTTGGGCAACCACAAACGGCAGTCCGGCAGAGACTATAAAAATAAGAATCAGGCTGCTCGGTTCTAGAGCGGAATACTTTAGCCAAGGCCCAATATAACTATCCAAATTCAAAAATCCAAAGCGGAATCAACTATTTATTAAGTTAAGAGATTTAATTTTGAAAAAAAAAAAAAAAAAAAAAAAAGTTACCTACAAAAATATATATATGAAAATACATATGATTTTTCTGACAAAGACCCATAAATTTTATATTGTCTTGTCATAAATTGTGAGAAACTTTGATTTATGCATTTTATGTTCTCCACTCCACTAAGTGGCAAAACTGGAGGCTAACAATTTTGGTAAAGGTTCAATATGAGGTGGCTAGTGGTTTTGGTGGACAAGTTTGTTGATACACAAGGAAATTTGATTTGTTGGTTACTGAGAACCATGTATTACATGGTATGAGAACCATGTATTACATGAGTTTATTTAAAAGAAAAAACTAAATATAAAATTTTATATATCTAAGAAGTTTGAATTTATAAGAAAAATAAGAAAACTATTTAATTATAAAAATTAATTGTTTTTTTCTCTAAATTTAAACAAATAATTTAGAGAAATAAATAAAGGAAATTAATGAAGCTTTAATTTAGTAATTTTGAAATTAAAAAGAAAGTTCATTAAGGAAATTAGTATGCATTCATTATTGCATTTAAATATTATGTATAATTTAATAAAATAGAAAAACCATAAAATGACATGTGAAAAAAAATTAATTCAAAATAACCACAAAATGACATTTGGCAAATTGAATGAGAATGTGACAAGTAACAAAAAAAACTTTCATTTATTAAAATAGATTACATATATATTTAAATTTTAAAAAAAATGCATTGCTTACATGTATAAGATTTAAACTTGTAATTTTTTGGTTATCCTATATAAGTTTCACAAATCCATGTTGGAAATAATAAAATTATCATTAATGAAAAAATCAGATACTTTGACACAATGATAAAAATAATTTTCAAACTCATGATTTGTAAACTCAACAAACGAAGTCTGGAGAATCGTTCCATTATTGATAAGAATTATGTATGTATTGTAATTCAATGACAAAAATATAATTTTGTGATGTCATACGTAACTAGCACGAATTACACGCGCGGGTTGGATTGGGTTTGCCTAAATGTTGATAAATTTCAATTTTTTCACTTTTGAATGATAACACGCTTTCATTGACTTCAGTTTAAAAATGACACTAGATTTCACGTACCATATAAAAAAATTGACTCTCAGTATGCTTGTTAAAAACAAATATTTGACTAAATTTGGATATGAAATTATGAATTGATTACCATAATTAACCTTTTCACTTGATGATATGTGTTCGTTGTCAGCAATCTCATATAAAGGTAAAGCATGAATCTGATAATTCAGTTGTTGGTGGTGATGTGATCTTTGACAAATGTTCATTGCATAACTCGATTTTTTCCGAGGAAATTTTGGAGAAGTATTCACTGGAATACTCTTTCCAGCGCGTACAATAAATTCACAAAAATGTTAGCCTATATAAACATCTAAAGTAACAACCCCAATTCAGATTGGGGGGCATATATGGAACCCTTTATAAACAGGCTAACCTTTAATGCAAACATGACACAAACTTTTTTCATCCGACTCAAACTCAATTTAATAAGTTCTTTGACTTTTTACATCTTGACATAGCTGGAGGTGAAATTTACCTGAATCAAGGTTACAGAGGTAAAATTTCTATATTTCCCTGTCTTTCCCATGAAAAACCCAAACGATAATCTTTCTTTATCACTCTTATACTACACCATCTTCTGATATTTACATGTAAAAAACAAAATCAGAAATCTAATATAGAAAATTAATCGATTTTGATATATAATATTATATTACTAACCTTAATAGTATCGGTCAAAAGGTTGGTCCAAAAAATAACGTCTACGAAAGCTGTACCTGGGATTCAAAAAAAAAAAAAAAAAAAAAAAAAA